TGAACCGTCGGGGACACCGGCGCAAGGATCAGCTTGCCGACTGCGCAAAGCGCATTAGAGCTCGCAAAGCTGATTGCATTCCTGGCGCCTATCGCAGTGTTAGAAACTGACGCATTAGTTGCGCCCCCCTCCAAGGCAGCATATGCAGACGAAACGGCGACCCTGACCGCCGACCTCGCGACCTCCATGGAGATGCCCCTGCGGTCCTGGCGCGCGCTTGCCGCGAGAAAGAAACGACCTCGCTGCCCCCCCCCCGCCCCGCGCGCGTTCATCATTGGCGCTTCTCGAGCCCCTGCGTTCTTGCTCTAAGCTGCTGCGCGCTCTATCAGTGCCGCGCGCGACTCCACCCTACACTGCAACGCGCCACTCTGCATGACCACGCCCTCATAAACGCGCTCGCACGTGCATGGACCAACTCCAAAGCCTAGTGAACGATCACCGCTGCTACTCATCCTCCTAACCGCCCTCATCTTCCGAACGCACCTCCGCCACGGTGGGCGCAAGCAGAGAACAACAACATACCCGGGAGGGGCAGGCATGGCGCGCTCCAAGGGCACAGATATCGGATGGTGCACGGGTATGGTCACAGAGAGATGCATGCGCACGAATGGAGGCAGACGGCAAACACCGGTGCCCATGATTGTACCCATGCTCGTCGTCGGCACCGCGACTGTGGACCCGGCCCCAACCAGCAGGTAGATGCGTTGTTTATACGCTGGGGCCTCGAACAAGTCCCAGCGCGGACCACCAACTCTGAAACCCAAACATCACGCCATTCCACAGTACTATCGGCGAACGCCCCCCGAGGCCCCAGGTCCAAACCGCGGTTTACCCGTTGGGGGCTAAGAGGAACCAAATGGGCATCCTGGTAGTGATCGGCGATCGCTGCAACGGAGATCCCGACCGTCTCCGCTGAGCTCTCATCGTCATCGGCCTGGGTCTTGCCCGTGCTCTTTCGCTTGCCCTTGCCCTTCGCGTTGCCTATCTTGCAGGTGACCAAGGTGGGCTCCGCTGTTTCGCTGGCGATGTTGGTGATGCGCCGCTGGGACTGGTTGATGCCCCGCCCGGGGCCATTCATCTGAATCAGGGCATTGATAACAAAACCGCGTTTCTCGAGCTCCTGCGAAACCAATGCGCCACCTGCTGCGAAAGACCTCAACGACGTTTTCACGCCAGCATCTGCAGCGATGCCGCCGCCGCCATCAGACCAGGGAGCTCCGAGTTCCACTGATGCAATGTATGCTTGATAAAGTTCCTGTGCGAAGGCATTCCGAACCTACTCCGGCGTCTTGTATTCCTTGCGGCACCGTGACCTCTGCTCGCGGACGCGCATGATAGACCGCGCTTCCAAGTTCCCAAGAAATTTCCGTTTTCATGGTAGTCTTCATGTCAAGCCCATCCAAGTATCGTGATGCTGTGCATATCATCGTGCACACTTCGATGCAGGTTAGCTCGTTGGTGGTGGTGTGTGCTTGCGTGTCGGAACTGGTCAGACATGTGCTTCCTTTCTCTCGAACGAAGTTGTCTGGTGCGCACGAGCTTGCTTGCAAACGCGCTGTGCTAGATTCGGGCCCGTCCCGAAACTTGCCGTTTGCAAGTAGTTTGAAAAGCGCGCTGGGAATGTCACTTCGAGTCGCTACCAGGGCGCGGGAGAACTCATCCAAATTCGCAAGAAACACTGGGTCTTGACCCCCAGACTGATCGACATATTGACACATATCTGCAAGCTGGTTGGCAAACGTCGGCTGGCTCATCTCGGCTCGCGCGGCGATGGCGTCGCACTTGCCATCCTCGGGAGGTGGGAGACTGGGATGCCGAAGCAAGCCCCGCTAAACCGAAACACCAACAATACAAACCAAACTTGGAACTGACCAGCTTGAGGACTTGCATTAGCACCTGCATCTTCGTTGGGGCGCGGGCAGCCCCGTGTCCGCAATTCCCCGCCTCACTCAAAAAAATGCACTAGCTTCGGCGTCGACTCCTCGCACTGGCGCCTCGCGATTGCCCAACTCAAGCCGGTATCCACGGTTTCTTTGTTACTGGGGCACTTCGCGACGCTGCGTCTGTTGTCATCTGCGCATAGCTCACGGCGTGGCGATTTTGAATTGGCCAGAACACAGCGTAAACCAACATTCATGTGCGAGCATGTGAAAGAAAGGAATTGCAGGCCAGCCGAACACATTGCAGGTATCAAACCCTCGCTGCACTCGTAAATACATGTTTGAAACTGATGCTGGTCGATGCCGCGTTGCCCGTTGCCTGCCTCGATTGCCCAAGCCCTGACGCACTCTGGCCAACTCCACCCGCTGTTTAGTATCATCAATTGTACATCGTGGACGTCGACCGGGTCCAAACCTACGTTGGAACGACTTGTTGGGTGCACCCCAACTTTGTGAGGGGGCGCGCGCGAGACGTAGGCCAAATTGTCTTGAAACAGTATGGTCATCACTCTGTGTCCCGTAGCTTTCATCTGAACGCTGTCCTGTGACAGCTCGCATTCGTCAATCAAGCGGTTGACAAGTGGGGCCACCGTCTGCAAGGCTACCGTGAAAGCTGTATCCATATCGCTCGGTATCAGAAGCCCGAAATGCCATGTAAACAAAAGTGGCTGTGGTGACCACAGACTGACGAACAAATTGCCAAATCACGGCCACATAAAAAACAAAAAAAAAAACAAACAAAATCCAGCAGCAAAGAAGAAATCGCGCGCCAGATTCTCGGTCTTACCCTGACATCTTAGTCGGCCGACCCCTCTGGCGAGGCACGTGGAATTAACAACTTGGCAACCAGCCTAGCAGAACTTGGCCAACCTTGTTATATGTTCAGGCCCCCAGATACCGCAACGATTTGTGAACTGATGTATAGATTACTTAGGGGTGTCAAATGAACGCGGTTACCTCCCTATGTGGTTAGGCCAACATATAAGCGCGATTCGCGCGGATATCATAATAACACAAACTTATACCCAACATGTATCCCATCTACACACGAGTTCCACTCAACATATCACTCGATATACCTTTCCTATCTACCTAACAACCACCCTGGTGATCTCAGCGGGGTCCCGGGCTCCCCTGCATCCCGGCAGGGCCCCCCGGGACCTTCGGCTCCCGGCATGCAGGCCCCCCCCGGTTCCGGGACTTCCAGGCCCCAGCGGAATTACCCCCCCGTGTCATGAGACCCTTCGGGCCCCGGCGGGACCCCCCGGGTCCTCATGGTACCCTCCGGTTCTCCCGGGACTTTCCGGTCCAGGGACCCCCCAAATCCAGGCGCGACCCTCCCGGCAGGACCCCCCGGCTCCCGTGACCACCTGGGTCCCGGCGGGAGCCCCCCGTGTCCCGGAAGGTCCCCCTGGGTCCCGGGATCCCCGGGTCCCGGCAGGACCCCCTGGTCCCGGGACGATCGAGTCCCAGCGGGACCTCCCGGGTCCCGGGACCCCCCAGGTTCCGCTGGGATTCCCCGGGTCCGTGGGACCCCTGGGGCCCGAGTCCCGGCGGGACCCCCGGGGTCCAGGCAGGACCGAGCCGCCGAGCGACCGAGCAACCAAGAACGGGCGAGGAGAAAAGTGCGTTCCAGGGTATTGTTGGCACAGCCAAAATTCAATGCGCGATAGGATCCAAGCCCCTTTGGACGTCCATGCCGAATCTTTCCGAGCGGGGCCAGCCCCTCGGCGACGCCGCCCGCGCGGGCCCCCCTGTGGGACCCATGGGACCCCCCCAGTCCCAGGACCCCCCCGGTCTCTCGGGTCTCTCGGGACCCCCTCGGGTCCCCCAACGACGCGTCGTCGTCGTCGTCGCCATCCTTTCCTCCGCCTCCTCCTCCTCCTCTCCTCCTCCTCCTCCTCCTCCTCCTCCTCCTCCTCCTCCTCCTCCTCCTCCTCCTCCTCCTCCTATTCCTCCTCCTCGTCCTCCTCCTATCCTCCTCCTCGTCCTCCTCCTCGTCCTCCTCCTTCTTTTTTCTCCATCCAAGAGCCGGAGCGAAACCCTATCAGGATATCGGCTAAAGCCGGCTGACACATCGAATCGGCAAAACCGTACGGGTACCGCGTGGTCCTGCGACCGTACCAGCACCGGTCCCGTGGGAGCCTGATACCGTACCGACGCTACAAATACCGGTGGTCCTAACCAGACAGTGCTGGCCATACCGACACCGCGTGTTTTTGCCACCGTACCGTACCGTACCGTGGCCATAGTGCCTTGGGGATACCTGCAACGTGTATTTCGCGCACCCCCTAAAGCAGGGGAAGGAATGACGGATGGAAGGAAGGGGAAATGGCGAGGGAGGAGGACGGAGCACGAGAGAGAGTAGCAGGAGGGGGGCTAGGAGCAGAAAACACGGGCAGAAGCAGACGGGCAAATCGGGCGGGTAAACCCTAACGGGCGGGTCGGGAAGGCGGACCTAGGCGGCCAGGTCGAGCACGCGGGTTGCTGACGCGTGCGTCCTGCATGATTCGCCAGGGCGCGGCGTCTGAATAAATTGCAACGAATGTCAGGCGAGAGCGCGGCGTCTGAATAAATTGCCAAGAATATCGGGCGCGAGCCGTTGTTGCAAACCGGGGCCAACAGCCCAGTTCGGTGACACCTCACCCTCCTTTTAAATAACATGGTGCAAGTCCTAGGAGGAGCACTTCTATGTGGAAAAAAATGTTGCCGGAGGGGGGAATCAACAACGACATCTTCTGAATACATGAGAAGTTCACAACAGCAACTGCAGCAACAACACTAACATCGACAACAACGACAACGACAACAACGACACCAATAACACCACCAACATCAACACCAGCATCAACAACAACGACACCAACACCAACTACAACACCAACTACAACAACAACAGCAAGGGCAACAGCAACAGCAACAGCAACAGCAACAGCAACAGCACCAACAACAGCATCACCAACAACAGCAACAACACCAGCACCACCACCAACAACCATCCGCACCATGGAAGCCCTCTTCAGCAGGGCACCCAGGGATAGCGAACGACTGTTGGGCCCCCTCTCTCTGATCCTGATCGTAGCAGCGCAGTGGTCGTGTTTTTTCCTACCAGCACGGGGGCACCCGCATCCGACGGCACCGCCGGGCATCCAGAGGCGGCCCGCGTGCGCCCCGCGGCACCTAGCCCGAGTCGTCGGAGGCCAGCACGTGCGCACGCCCCTCGCCGGAGCGCTGGAGCTGTGCCCCCTCCTCGGCTGCCCTGCGCATCGAGGACGTCGCCTCGCGCTCGGTTCGCCGGCGGAGACGCTCCGCCCTCTCGAGCTGCTTCTGGCGCCGCTCCCGTTTCTTCGTCAGCTCCCGCTCCTTTCGGCTCGGCCTCCTTTCGCGGGCCTTGCCGCCGTTGAGCTGCTCGAAGGCCTTCTCCTGTTCCTGGTGCCAGACCTCATTGTTCACTTCTGTCGGCTCGACCCCCAGCATCGAGAGCGTGCAGGCGGTCTTCGCCTCCAAGGAAATGCCAAGCTCCGTGGCCGCGAATATGTCCACAGCGGCCTTTCCACGCATCTCGATCGCCTGCTTTGCCCTCTCATAATGTTTCAGTGCCTCTGGATACCTCCGCATCTTGTAGAAGGCATCGCCCATTGCCACGACCAGCGCGATGCCGTCGTCGCTCCACGTCAGCCTGCGATCCGAGGAGTGGCGCATAGATGCCCCCAGCTGCTTGAAGGCCGCGTCGACGTTGCCCAGCCTCAGGTTCTCGGAGCCCACCTTCAGCAGCAGATTGTAAATGTCGGCCCTGTTGGGAAGGCGGAGACCCACCCCCACCCCCAGTCCCGACCCCACCCCGAACCCGCGATCCAGTGGATCGGGGCTGGGGGTGGGAGTGGTTTCTTGCCCAGGGCCCCAGGATCCAGAAAACGCCCCCGACCCCAGTCCCGACTCCCTGGACCGCCGACTCGGGGGTGGGAGTCGGGACTGGGAATGGGGGTGGGCACTCGCCGCCCTCAGACCTCTCGTTCCCCCGCGTCTGGCCCATGACTTCAATGTAGATGCTGGCCGCGGCGTTGAAGCTCTCCATGGCGGCCTCGCCGTCCCCGAGCTTCTCGCGCAGCTCGCCCAGCTTCACGAGGACGCGCGCGCCGGCCTTGGAGCCGAGGAGCCCGACGCCCTCCAGGGCGCGGCGGGCCTCGCCGTAGGCTCCCAGCGCCTCGGGCAGCTGGCCCATCCTGCCGTGCAGGTCCCCGATGTCGGCCAGGATGGCCGCGCCATCGGCGGAGGCCAGCCTGTTTCCAGCCTGGAGACGCTCGCGCACCTGGATTTGAAGGGGCCCTGGGACACACAAATAAATACCCACAAGTAACAGGATCCCCAATATTTTCCTATATTTTCTGGGTTTTGGTCTTCCCCCCCACTTCCCATGTTTTCCCATTTGTTTGGGGAATCGAGGATCAATTGTGTCTGTGTGTTTTTTCCCCTCCTGAGGATTGGCGGCGCGCACAAGGGGGTACGGCAGCTTCGTGTCGCGTCGACCCCGGCGTTGGTTCCCGACGTTGCGAGGATCGTTCAACCTCCAACGAACGGCCGTTCCCGAAACGTTAGGATCGTTCAACATCGCCCGGTTCTGGGTCCCCGGCGACGTTCCACGTTGAACACCCGCGGCGGGGTCGCCACAGGTCGACACGACGCGAACCGACCGTAAGGTGGGAGGGGGGAAGGCTTCCAACGAGGCGACTGCTTCTCAGAGGGTGCCAGCCTCACGTCTGCAGACAGTGCCTGCGCCTGCTAAGGAGCAGCGGGCGCTGTTCAGAAGCCTTCCCCCCTCCCCCTACCCACCCTTCTTCGAGTGGGCACGTCGCGCTTTCCATCGCAAAGCCATCCAAATCCAAGAAACCCAAGGCACCCTGGAGGCGAGCAGGGTGTTTCTTGGAATGGGCCCCCACTGTGTGTGGGGGAAGGGGGGAAGGTTTCTTAGAACGAGGCTGCTTCTTAGAAGGCGCAGGCCCGCGCCTTCCAAGAAGAAGCAGAGGGGGGTTCTGAGAAGCCTTCCCCCCTCCCCCTTACCCCCCCCCTCCTGCGCGTGGCCGACTAGAGGAAGAACAGACCAGCATCAGCAGAAGCTTTGGGAGGTACGCGCGGACTTCTTGGATAGGCGCTGGGCACCCTCCCTGGCGTGCGGAGCGCGCCAGGGGCGGCGCCGGAGGCGCCGCCAGGGGGGCCCCCAGCGCCGATCCGAGAAATCCGCGAGGTGCCCCAAAAGTTCATGCCCATGCTTGTCCCGCTTTCTCTTCCTCGAGCACCTGCAGGTACGTAGTCAGCGCCTCCTCGAGCCGCCCGGACGCAGCCTGTGGGGAAACCAACAGGTATCGATACTGCTGCTCCCCGGACCTCTCCTGGGGTGCGTTCTGACCCAGATTCCGAAGCGAATCCAGCCAGCGATGGCGACGAGGCCCAAGAAGGGGAAAACAAGGGAAGGCTAGAGGTATGGGTACCTCCCCAAGCATGCGACGTCCTGATGTGTTCGATACGCGGTCCCAGGAACTTCCGCCAGACTCTTTCCCTGGGACCTTTTTCTTATCCTGAATTCTCTTTTGACGGTCCCGCGGCCCGGCGAGGGCCCCCAGATGCCGAAAATGACCAAAAACGTTCCGTCGTGATTTCTGTTACGACGCGACTGTGTCTGGGTTCGGGCATTCGACTGGGGGATCGACTACGGAGTTGATTTACCCCAAAATATATTTTCACGTCGACTCTTCAACAAAAATACTTCAACCATTGGTAGACCTGCGAAAGTTCTACGAATTGCCCGTGGACTCGACAAGAACAACCAATCCTGGGGCAAACCAATTCTGTAGTCGATCTCCTGCTCGAGGCATACCTTTTCCATCCTCCGCGGCCTGCATGCGGCCGATGTTGGCCAGGAGGTCCGTGGCGGCGGGTGTGTCCAGGGCCCCCTCGGCTGCGAGGGCCTGCCGCGCCTCCGCGTACACGTGCAGCGCGTCCTCGGGCATGCCGCTCGCGGCGTAGAGGGTGCCCATGCGGCTGAGGAGCGTGGCGCCCTTGCTGGCTTGGGCGCCCGAGTTATCCGGGGTAACTCGGGTCCGGGGTAACTCGGGCTTGGATTCCCGAAAAAATAACCCGAGTTAGCCCTGACCCGAGTTACCCCTGATTATTTTGGGGCTCTGGACGCCCGAGTTATCCGGGGTAACTCGGGTCCGGGGTAACTCGGGTTTGGATTCCCGAAAAACGAACCCGAGTTAACCCTGACCCGAGTTACTCCTGATGATTCGGGGCTCTGATTGCTGGCGGCGCGCAGAGGGTTTTTTGTTTTGTTGGGGGGGGGGGCGGCACGCAGAGGGGGTTACGGTCGTAGTGGGCCCCGGAAACGGCAGGGCCGTTGTTTCACCGATTCCCAAAAAAGCATGTCCCTTGAAAATGGAAATGGCAAAAAAACGGCGACTGGAAACGGCAACAAAAACGGCTCCAGGATAGGAACCAGGGCCGGAACCCGTCAAACACCGGCGGAATGAAACCGGCAAAAAAACGGCGTCGGAACCGGCAAACAAACGGCAAACCGGAACCGGTAACAAAAACGGCCCTGTCGTTTCCGGGGCCCACTAAGGGTACGGTGGGTTCGTGCGGCGTCGGCGCGCGCGAAGGTTCTTGACACCGCGACGATCGTGCCACCTTGAAGCGGCTCCTGGAGCGGGAGGCGGCCCCGAAGACCCCACGCGGCGAGAGAAGCCTGGGGGCCCTGTACGTCCGGGCTCCAGTCGGGCCTCGGGGAGCCCAAAAGGCTCCAGTGAGCCTGCAGTGGAGGCCCGTCCACAAGAAACAAAACCCTGAGACCCCAGACGTCGACTGATTTCTGGCGTGGGCACGTCGCGCTTTCCATCGCAAAACCACCCAAATCCAAGAAATCCAAGGCACCCTGGATGCGAGCAGGGTGTTTCTTGGAATGGGCCCCCACTGTGTGTGGGGGAAGGGGGGAGGGCTTCTTAGAACGAGGCTGCTTCTTAGAAGGCGCAGGCCCGCGCCTTCCAAGAAGCAGGGGGGGTGCTTCTGAGAAGCCTTCCCCACCCCCCCTGCCCACCTCTGCGCGTGGCCGACTAGAGAAAGAACAGAGCGGCATCAGCAGAAGCTTTCGGAACTACGCGCGGACTTCTTGGATCGGCGCTGGGCACCCTCCCTGGCGTGCGGAGCGCGCCAGGGGCGGCGCAAGAGGCGCCGCCAGGGGGGCCCCCCAGCGCCGATCCGAGAAATCCGCGAGGTGCCCCAAAAGTTCATGCCCATGCTTGTCCCGCTTTCTCCTCCTCCCCCTCCCCCCCTCCGAGCGTGGCCGACCTTGCTGCTGTTGAGCACGCCATGCTCGAAGAAGAGAAAAGGCTGCGGAACCAGACGCATTCGGAGGTCCGCACGGACTTCCTGGGTCGGCGCTGGGGCCCCCCCTGGCGACGCCTCCGGCGCCGCCCCTGGCGGCGCCTCCGCGCACCAGCGAGGGGGGTCCAACGCAGATCCGAGAACTCCGCGGAGAGCTGCGAGTGGCGATGCTCATGCTGTTTGCTCAACTTCGACATGCGCTGACAGGAGATCACGCGCCCGCATGTACGCGTGCGACGCCTCGCGGCGCTTGTTCCTCATGGACTCCAGCACGATGCCCCGCTTCATGTGGACCCCTGCCGCCGCGACGGACTGGAGCTGTCCTTGCGTCTCCAGAACCTCGGATGCCGCGTCGTACGCGCGCAAGGCGTCGTCAAAAGCCCCCTGCTCACGGCATGCGGCACCGATGCGCATGTGGATGCCGGCTACCTCGTCCGATATGGGCATGCCAGCCTCTATCAGCAGCTGCAGCGCGATGTCGTACCTGTTGCGTGCGCATTGGAAGTTTTTGCCCTCGGCCTCCGCATCGCCAGCTCTCCTAGAGACCTCCGAGATGGGGCCCAAGTAGATGGAGTCGGAGGATCGCGCCGCATGGCCAGTGCGTCGCAGACGCATCAGCGATGCCTCGGCGATGCAACGGCGACGTCGGCGATGCCTAGACGCAATCCGCGTGGAGAAACTCTGGCTCCTCACCGAGCCGCATCGTCGATGCATCGGCGATGCGGAGCCACCCTCCGACCCCATGTCGGGAGCGGCCAAGAGGGGGGTGTCCAAGAGGGGGGGGTGCAAATCATGACCGGCGGCATGTGCGCGGCCCGGGGGGGGGGGCCAGGGACGTAATGAAATGAGAAGAGGCGGCATGAAATCTGGGGAAATATCATGGCCCCCGCCATGATATCCACCCCCCCTAGTCATCACCCCCCTCTTTCCCTGACCTGCTAAAAAATAGCTCTCTGGAAGGTCAGGGTAGTCATCACCCCCGTCTTTGCCGCCCCCGACGTGCTCGGCGCCCCTCTGGGAGTCCTCTCTCGCAGCCACCGGGGCACGCGGGCGGCCTCGGCACCCGCGGGCGCCGCGCGGCGCGCGGGCGCGCCCGCGCGGCGCGCCCCTGCCCCGCCCGGCGCTGCGCGGCCCCCTGCCTGGAAGCAGGCGCCCTGGCCCGGTGGGCAGAGCAGCCGGGCAGCGCACAGCACGGCCGCGAGGGCGCGGCAGGCGCCGGCCCAGCCCCGCTGCCGCCCGAGCATCCCCCGCCCTGGAGGGGCGAGACCACTCCCCGACCTTCCAGAGAGCTATTTTTTATAGCACGGGAGGCCCAAAAACCTAAACAACGAAACGAAGCAGCCTGAACCCAAGACACAGAATAGCTCTAGCCCTCCTGGAAGGTCAGGGCTCGGCCCATGCAGGCGACGGAGCGAGGAGGGACAGCCAGGTGGCGACATCCGAAGCCCACACCCCAGCAACGAGCGAGTCTCCTGCGTCGATGGGAGGCGGGGGTAGGCCTCGGAACTCGGCCACGTGCTCGGCGAGTTCCGTACCCCTGCCCCCGCCGCCCATCGAGTTGCCCGAATCGTTCTCCGGCAAGGGTAGGCTTCGGAGTTCGCCGCCGAGCGCCGCGCACGAGGTCGCGGCGACCCCACGCGGCGGCCCACGCGGCAGGCGGCGCACAACGGTCGGATGCCGAAGGGGGCGCTCGCGCGCGAGCCTGCGCGGGCAGCCTGTGCGCGACCCGTGCTCGGCGACGGCCGGACCTACGACATAAAAACATCCGATCAGAACATGAGACCCTCCGCTGGCCAAACTGAAGAACATTCGAGAGTACCCTCCCCCAGGATTCACAAGAGCATTCAGCAGACAAGAATAACATGAGGGTACCTTCCCCGAACCGACCTCGATCTTATACCTCGGTCCGTCCGTTCACGTAAGAGTGGTCCTCGGCCACGGCGACCTTTGGTGCGTGACCATGGCGGGCAACGGGGGCGCCACATCCGAGCGCGCAAGTCGCTTCCAGCCAGTGCTGGGGTGATTCGGGCGGGTGGCAGTGGCGGGGGGACCTCGATGGGGGGTGAAGAGGAGTGCCCTCAAGGGCCCCGCTAGGGCCCCTCTTGGAGCCAGCAGATGACTACCTACCAGACCACCCCAACCCAACCCGAAGACCCGAACTTGACCCGAGTTTCGGGTTGGGGGGGGGGGGGTACGGGTTCCATGTGTTTTTTATTTAAATGTTCCCCGACCACCCCCCCTACTGGAAATGGAAGGCAGATTGCGGCATTCGGGTTGGGTTGGGGTGGTTTGGTGGGTGGTGAGCAGAGGCCACCCCCCATTCCCACCCGACCGAGTGATCCCCTTTTGGACGCCCGAAATGGGCACGGAAAGAATGGGTACAATGCCCAACAACAAACGTTGTCCCAAACCAACAGCGGCCGCTGATGGGCAGGCGGCCCTCTGTCTCAAATGTACACAGGCCGCGGCAACACCGACAGCGAGTCCTGTTCAAAATGAGCAAGAACTGCTGTTGGGTGGATGAGGAGGAGGAGGAGGAGGAGGAAGAGGAAGAGGAGGAGGAGGATGAGGAGGAGGAGGAGGAGGAGGGGAGGAGGAGGAGGAGAGAGGAGGAGGAGAGGAGGGAGGAGGAGGAGAAGAGAGAGGAGAGGAGGAGGAGGGAGGAGGGAGGAGGGAGAGGAGGAGGGAGGAGGAGGAGGGAGGAGGAGGAGGGAGGAGGAGGAGGAGGAGGAGGAGGAGGAGGAGGGAGGAGGAGGAGGGAGGAGAAGGGAGGGAAGGAGGAGAGGAGGAGGAGGGAGGAGGAGGAGGAGGAGGAAGAGGAGGAGGAGGAGGAGGAGGAGGAGGGAGGAGGGAGGAGGGGGACGAGGAGGGGGAGGAGGCAGCAGCAGAGACTCGCTGGCGCTGCCCGGGCGCTGCGCGTCCAAACCGTGGGCCCGCACCATAAGGTCACGCCGGCGAACTTGCGCGGCGGCCGAGGGTGTCCGCACAGCATGCCTCCGTCCTCCTGCCGTCGCCTTCTGTGCGCCCGGGCGCCGCTGGGCACCGCGCGCCGCGGGCGCCCCTCCGCATCCCATGGTGCCTGGGCCGAGAGGGCTGCGGGCGTCGGAGCCTCCTCGTCTCGAGTCTGGAGGGCGCAGGAGGCGGGGGGGAGGCGGGCGAAAGGGGGGGGGGAATCTGACCAGGTCCAAACAACACCCTATCCCTAAGATCAGCGGGTCCCTGCCCGTACGCCGCACCGAAGGCCACGCCCTACAGGGCGGGCCCGTCTTGCCAGAGCAGCGTCGCTTGAGCCCCGTACCAAAAGCGGAATAGGGGAGGGAGGGGGAGGAGAAGGGAGGGGGGAGGGAGAGGGAGGGGAGGAGGATAGGGACAGGAGAAGGGGAGAAGGGGAGAAGGGGAGAAGGGGAGAAGGGGAGGAAAGAGGAGAAGGGGTTGGAGGGAGGAAGGGGGGGGAAGGCAGTGAAGGGTGGACAGGGCGGCAGGAAGGAGGCGGGGGAGACGACGTCCATGACGGTGGTCGTGTTTTGTTGTTTTTGCTCCTCTCCAGCAGCGGCCCTGACTTCGGCAGGGGCCTTCGTCTTGGTCGGCGCCGTGCTCGCCCGCGTCCTCGTCGTCGCAGTCGTCGTCCTACGTCCGACGCCGTCGTAGTCGTCGTCATCGTCGTCGTAGTTGTCGTCGCCTTTCTCCTCCTCCCTCCCCCCCGTCGTCGTCGTTCTCCTCCTCCCTCGCCCCGTGTCGTCATCGTCGTCGTTCTCCTCCTCCCTCGCCCCCGTCCCCTAATCATCCATCCCATCCCCCATATCCTCATTATTAGTTTCCTCGTCGTCGCCGCCGTCGCCGTCGTCGACGTCGTCGTCGACGGGGTCGGCGTCGTCGACGACGACGTCGATGTCGAAGTCTGTCGGCGACGTCATTTTCGTAGGCGCTGGCGTCGTCGACGACGGCGTCAACGACGTCGTCGTCTTCGTCACCCTCGTCACGTGCACCACGTAATTGTATCCTTCGTCGTTGTCGTCCCCGTCGCCGCCGTGACACCTGCAGGCGATGACATCGTGACCGTCGTCGCCGTCATGGTACCATCGTTGTCAGCGTCATCGTCGCCCGAGTCGTAGTCACGTCGCCGTCGTTGTCGCAGTCGTCGTCGCCAGCCGACTGGCGACCGCGAGGCCTGGCGCCGCAAACCCTCATGCAGCGAAGGGGGAGGATTGGAAGGGTGGAGTTGCTATACATGCCCCCTCTGCCCTCCCCCTCCCAAACCCAACGATCCGTTCCTACTCCTCTCTACCCCTCCGCTACCCTCGAATGCAAATTATTCTCCTCCCCGTCTTCCTTTCCCAATTCCTCTCCTCATCGGGGGGCGGAGGAGAGGGAGTGGAGGAATAGAAACCGATCCGCAAGAAATGAAAAAGGATAGGACAACAGTGTACAATACAGTAAATGAAAAGCCACGCTGGTCGCACACATATCAGCATAATTCTGGCGAAGCTCCGATCTCAACAACATCGTCTATGGAATCGCAGCTGGCCCATCGTCGAACAAGCCAGCGATCGGGCACTGGTCTACGCAAGTGCCCTGCATGGTCAAGTATTTTGACCACAGGCCGCGAAGCACCATGAGGAGGCTCTCGCGGTGGCCGTAGAGCTGCCACGAGGCGCCGAACCTGCTGAACGGCTTCAGGTGGCCGTTCCACGCGCCTTGCACATTCGACCGCCGCACGTGTGCCCCAGGAGGCACGCGGTGGCGAATTTCGCACTGGGCGATGTCGCCCTCGGGGATCCTACGCGGGGGTCCGTGGCCAGCCCCGCCAGCGGGCTTGCCCTTGCCCTTGCCCGTGCCCTTGCTTTTGCCCTTGTGGGCTGGCGCAGGCGGCGCCCGTGTCTCAGCCCGCCTCTTCTGCCAATCCTTGGTGTAGCCGTCGCGTTCGGCAGTGACCCTCCTGTGCGCCTCCGCAGTCTTCGTCCAGTTGTCGCGGTCCTCTGGGCAGAAGAGCAAGTTGGCGCCCTCGACGGGCATGAACGTCTCCAGGGCTGCGTTCTGATTCGATACCGACTCCACCATCCTGATGGCCATGATCTCCAGCAGCTCGTCCTCGCTGAGGGGCGCGCCTGGCTTGCCGAGGTTGTACTTGATGAGCGCCTCCAGGATCTCGCGCAAGCTGTTCCCCTCGGCCGCGACCCCCTGGCACTTCATCAGTCTGGTTAGCTGCGTCTCGCTCCGGCCGAGGAAGCACGTGCGAGCAGCAACCACAAGGAGAGGCGCAGCACGTCCTGTCACTCGGAGCCTGCCACCGAGCCCACCTGGCAGCTCCCTGGGCAGCTGATCTCCAAGAAGAAGGCGGCGATCAGATCGAACACCATTCGACAGGGACCGTTTCCCAGCGCTTCGGGTCAACAACAGCATGGAGCGACTCATCTACACTCACAACACCCAAGGACAACTGCATAAACACAACATCTGCATTCACTACCGCGTGCTCATTGAGAAGCCAAGCAACCCCAGCGCTGCGGGAGAAGTGAGTCAGAGGCAAGGTCCATGGCGTAGTGGCGCCTGCCAGCGTGCATCTGACAGCGAACTTAGACGTCGTCATGAACATCTCGCCGTGCCAAGCGCGCTGGATCTTGCCGAGGCAGCCGAAGCGAACGCAGTGGCCGATGATGACGGCATCGGCGAATCTGGCGCTCCAGTCATTCGCCTTCGGCGAGTGCTTCTGAGTCGCCTGTTTAGTAGAAGTGACCTTGGCGAACTCCTTCGGCATGGACAAGTACGACGGACGATATGCATCAGCAGGCACCTTGAGGTCGCGCTGGTAATTGAACATCGGGAAAGTCAACTCCTTGTAGTCGTGCTTCTTGGACGCCGCCTTCTTGTCGAACAACGTATGGAACGCAGTCTCGAGTGTGCCATTCCTGTTCTTTTGAGGGGCGCTGTTCTTCTGGTCATTGAACCCGCCCTCCACGATCTGCGAGCCGATGCACTTGCTATGGCGAGCTTTGAAGAACGAACGAACCCGCTCTGAGATTGTGAAGTCGTCCATCTTCAAAAACCCCGCACACTTGCTCCTGCGACTTCCACTCCCAAGGGCTGCGCCCCACAAATAATTGCACGCCCTCCACATCGTTGCTCCGCTTCATCGTCTCGTAATTCTCGCGCTCCGTCTTCGCGCGGGCAACCTCGCGGCGAGCAAAGTCGGCGTCGTCCGCGAAGAAGCACGAGCGCGAGTTCCAGCCCTTCATCATCCACAGCGCCCTCTTGACGCGGCAGCCCACGATGCCGACGCAGGTGTGGGCGAGCTTCTGCGCAATGTCATTCTCCCTGGCCTCGTGGCTATCCTGGGGCGCGGTTGCGATGTTGTGACCAGTGGGGAGAATGAGATCGAAGTCCTTGAGTTTTCTCGAAGACGAGATAATTGAAACCGTATATTTCAAGTGTGTAATCAAGTCACCAGTAATCGTTTCCTCAGCCATGGCTCTGTCTTGCCAGCATCGCGAAGCTCCGCGTTGCTCATGCCAAACCACTGCTCGCACAGCTTCGAGGCACCAGCTACGATCTTGCCAAGCATCGCCGTATCGGGCCCCAGCCAGTCCATCAGGGCGACCACCATCTGGTTGGCGCATGACTTCCGAAAGCTCTTCTCCTCCCCTGTCTCCACGCGGCTGTCGGTGGTGCGCGCGAGTTCGGAGCCCGACCTCACAAGGCGGACGAACTTCGCATTGCCTGCCATGTCCATCCCCACGCAGGTTAGCAAGTATCCGAACTTTCTCTGGGCGCTGTAATTCAACTCCTCTCTGATTTTCCTGCTGACGGCCAAGAATCGGTTCTTCAACGTCTTGCCCCCCCTGGCGGTGGACGCGCTGGATTCCTTCAGGCCGTTCCACAACGCATCTGCAGGTTCAGGGGTGTCCGCGAACTCACGCCCAACAGGCTCTGCCAACGCATCGTCGACGAAGTCCCGGAAGAACACGTTGGTCGAGGCTGCCGTCGTAGCGACGGCTTCCTTCAGTGCCCCAGTGACTTGGCCCCGCCGTAAGTTCTCGTCCCACAGCGATACTGGCACGTTAATCCTCAACAAAGACATAGATACATGGCACCCCAGGCCAGCTGCTTCGATTCCACCGTACATATCGTTGTGGACCCCGTGGCTGAAGTCCCATGCTGGGTCCACGTTGATCCCCATGTGAAGCCAGTGGGAGATGGCCGCCACCCCGTCGCTGCCCTGGTCAGGGCTGATCGACAGACGGGGCCACTCGGCAACGTTGTCTCGATCCTTGGGATCAGGAGGAACACGAAAATGAAGAAACCGTTTCATCGAATTGTGCTCGCAACGCGTGAATTGGCAAGCAGCCTTCCGATGCCGCTTGGGCGGTTGCCAACTAGCCAAGTTCGAGTCCTCTCTCCTCCTCTTGAGCCATGCCATTTGCCTCGCGGCCTGCGCCTCCAGCGCAACCTTCTTGCCCTCCTCGCCGCCGATGATCTCTGCCATCGTGGTCTCCCCCATGAAGTCGCGAGGGTCCTGGGCCCCCCCCTCTCACTCTCTCTCCCCCCTCTCCTACTCCTCCTGAGCTGCTCCGCCCCCCCCCCCCCCCCCTGCCGGCGCTCGGCGTGGCGCCGACGCCCATAGAGCGAGTTCCAGGAATTCGCTATGCTAATCTTAGGGGTGCGAATCTTGGGGATGGGGGGATGTCTCGAGCGGGGACGTCCCCGTTCGAGACACCCCCCCCCATCCCTAAGATTCGCATCCCTAAGATTCGCATTCGCGATCCCGGGGGTGATTCCACACGGGGCACCAGCTGAAGGTCGAGCGGGGGCGCGAGCGCGAGACCCCCGTCCTGAGGTACGCCCCAGAAGCCGACGTTGTTCGCCATGGCGGAGAAGGTGTTCAAGATGCCGAAGTTGTGCACGCGCGACTTGTCGGGCGCGCGGGAGATGAACTGCGCGGAATTCGATTTCTTCAAGGACTCCGCGGCCTTGACGTAGAGGGCGCACTGCGTCGCCCTCGAGTCGCCGTGGTCGCTCGCCTCAAGCCCCATGCAACTGCCCGTGCCGTTGCCCCCTCTTCACGAAGCCAGCGATGCGCATATCAAGCAAGTCACCGAAACGCCACAACACTTGCAGAGAGAAGATCGGTCGGACCCTGCACTGCGGCACGTCCAGCATGATCCACCTGAAGAAGGAAATGATCCCTGGAGGCTCGGTTCGGAACTTCTCCCTGAACTTATCCGAGAATGCCTTGGCACCGCGATTCAAAGTGTTCGTCTCGCCGATCACGAAGAGGGTCGCGGTCCCGTCCGTGCTGATATGTACCATGAGCCTCCTGGCTGATCCAATTATCAAGCCACTTCTGGTCCGCTCGACGCACGACGTAAATAAGCCAAACGCAACGCGTCCACCAACGTAGATTTCCACTAAAAGCCTGCCCACAAATGTCTGCTAATGAGTCCTTCTCCATCTCATTCGCGAAGCCCCCCCCCCCCCATGCTTTCTTTTTTTTTTTTGCAAGCAACCACCGAACGAGGAGGTAGAGCAACGACGTCGCGCTGGCTGATTTCTCCTTCAGTGCCCTGTTGTCAACCGTGCCGGGCCCACGTGCTTCCGTCTGGTCGTAAGCCACTGAGTTGCACAGACGGCCGAGCTCCGCGTGCTTAAGTGCAGCGTTCCATCTTGGGAATTGGTGGCCCACAAAACTCTTGACATGCGATTCCCGATTGACCCCGATGGCAAGCATCACCGACGGCAAACTGAAGAACGCGAAATTGTCGCCCCGCCTAGGCTCGTAGATCGAGATGTCCAGCGGGTCGGCGGCCGTCGTAGACCAGCTCTTCACCTTCAACGTGAAAGACGCCGCGCTCGCGAGCGCTTCGTCGAGAGAGCGGGCGATGGCGAGGTCGCCAGTCGTAGTCTGCAGCACGGTCTCCCCGTCGGACTCCCTGATGTAGACGACGTTGTTCAGCAACTCGACGGCGTCGAGCTTCCTTCCGCCGTCGGTCGCCCCCGCCAGCTCGGCGCCCCAGCCGCCCACGTCCAGCAACCACTCCGTCTCCGTGCGCGGCTGCTGGATCCTGTCGAACGTTTCGAGTTGCACAAGTTCGTACATCATGGACTCGCTGTTGAAGCGCACCTGGAACTTACCCTCAAAGCTTCGCAACTGAGAGGTGTCGGAACCCGTGCCGCCGTCAGTGGGCGCAACGGGGGGCTCCGCAGGAGGTGGTAAAAGGAGGTGCCGGTGCTGGGTCCTCTGGGATGTGGATCGGCTCCGGTTGGGTGGCGCCCTCCAGCGCAACGAACGCAGCCGCCTCTCCTGGTGGGCCAACGGGCGCGGCGCCCCCTGAACCTGCCGCCGTTGCGGAGTGCGTCGCGGGGAGGTCCGCGCCGCTCTCGATCTGCTCCGCTGCCGCGCGCATCGCCTCGAGTGGAATCGCCGTGCCTTTGACGACCGTGGGTGTTCCCGAAGCGACGCGGCGCTCGAGCTCCTCCAGCATGGCGGGCTTGGCGTTGCGCAAGCGGGCGATGAGGGCCAGCTGGCCAGCCTCGCCAAGTAAAGGTGGTGGCGCTGCGTCGGCGGCCACGCTGCCGAAGGAGCTCCAGTAGCTCGCGCAGGTCTGTCTCCAGAAAAAACTTTGAGATGGCTTGAGCCAAAACGGCTATGTGCAACGGGGGCGCTGAGGAGGCGGAAGAGCAAGTTGAGGATCGCTCAACAGTGCCAACGTTGACGGGGCGCTAGCGACGAGGAGGAGGATGGGGCGGAGTAAGGAGAGGTTGAGGATCAGAAGCAACAGCATCCATAAGCCCCCTCCCCACGCGACGCCGCCTCGGCGTTGCCCCCCCCGCCCGCGCGGCGCCAGCGGCCACGTTCGCTTCGAAGGTCCAGGGCCCCCGATCTGCACGCGCTAGGTTCCAGCCGACCACGGGCGGGGATGGGCAGGGGAGGGTTCGGACGATCGGTCGATCGGACACTAATAGGGCCCTCGCTTGCATCTCCAAGGGCTCGCCAAACGCCGAAACTTCCAACGGGCGAACTCGTCGTCGTCGTGATCATCATTCGCTCCTCCCCCCTGCTCCCCTGTGTCTATCTCCCGTCACCCCCTGTCTCCTCCTATCCCCCCCCCATCCCCCTGCCCTTCCCTGCCGGCTGCCCCCGACTACGGCGACCAACGCCCCTTCAGTTCGGCGCAGACTCTCCAAAGTCCTGGGAAGCCTGTGACGGGAAGGGGGCGAAGACGAGGTGAGCAAAATGAGGGCGACATACTCTTGGCAACTCTATGCGTGCAAGCCTGAAGAAGTGCGCGCGCGCCAGCGCACGCGCCCCAAGGGCACCTGCGTCGGCGCCACCGGCATCGGGGGCCTCAAATCCCGAGGCAACTGGATTGCAAAGATTACGGTAATAATTAATTACATGCAGGAGCTATGTTGAATACGTAAGCTGGCGCCTCACCTTGGGCGCAGCAGCACGATCAGCCCGTGCTTTCTCCAGCGCCTCGTCACGCTGGCGCTTGCTGCGAGTCTGCAAGGTCACCAGTTCGGGAGCGTCGGCGATGGCGCTGAACTTCTCCTTGGCTGCATCCAGGTCGTCAACGGCGATCTTGCACAAACCCTGAAGATGATTGCCTTTCTTGTCCAGGCGGCACTTGTGAGGCCTAGGCCCACTCCCCGCTGGAAAGTACGAGGCGGCCTTCAAAGGGTTCTCGCCCACCAGCGGGTGGGCCTCGTCGATCGACGACGCGCTGCTCAGCGGGATGCTCGACGAGATGGTCACGTGGGCGGGGGCCCATGCGATGTCACCACTCACGTGCGTGATCTTGGCCAAGCGGCCATTCTCGTACTGCAGGCCGTACAAAGGGAGCGCTGACCAGCCGACAGTGCCGTCGACGCCTACGCTCTTCTCGAACCAGTGGGCGACGTCGAAACCAATCCCCGCCAGGCACAACTTCATGGTGTTCACGAAGACGGTCACATCGGTCCTGCACTCTTGTGGCACCTTATCTTTCATAGAGATTTGGAAGACTATGCCGAATCCATCTGCCACTGCGTGCTTATCCTTGTCGTCCATGGCGTCGAGGAGCGTCGAAGATGGACCGCCTGGCATGGCGCCCAGGATGGGCGCGAGCACGGACTTGTCGAGCTTGCCGAACGCGGGCGCAGCCTCCTTGAGCGCGTCCGTGGGCGATGTCTCCTGCGCTTGCTGCTTCTCAATGCACTGCTCGACGCTGTCACCTGCGAGGCCCGCTTGTATGTTATTCCACACGTCGGGCGCCGCGTCAGGAAATTTTATCATGTGGTCGAGGCACTTCTGAAGGCACAATCGAGACCGAGTTCGTCTGTTCATCTCCTGCTGGTCGTTTCTCACCTCCCGCACGTGCGGCACACTCTCAGAGAACGATACCAGGACCGAGCCTTTCGAACCAGGCTTGTATAGAGAAACCTTCAAAAACGAGTCTCCTGGCACAGGCATCGCAGTCTGCGAAAAACAAAAAAAGAGGTACAGGGTGCCCGAAACTCGAAGCCTATGCAGTCACTTGAGCCACAATGTGCTACTGATGCTGATGTTGGTGATGACGACGGAGACGGTAATGCGTGTTGAAACTGATGCGACAACGATCTCACTTGCGCATTGCCCCCTGGGTAATCGACCTGAGGGGATTGGAATTTTGCGTGCATGGCAAGTCCTGTGAAACAGGTGGGTGGCGTTCTGGGGGCAAGTGCGTCCTCCGAAACAGAACCGGGGGGGACAACTCCTCTGCACCACGGGGAGGGCTGAGAGCCCCCCCATCCCCGCCCCCCAACTATCTCTTCCCGACCTCTCCCCTCGCCTCCATCCTACGCCCCGTGCGGTTTATCCGTCCGTCTGCTTATCCGAGAGGATGGGGGAAGAGCCCGAGGAGCGGAGGGGGAATTGGTTGAGTTATGTTGTGCGTTGGCGGAAGAACGGCGATACGCGTTTTTTTGCCCCATTGATTTACAGCAGACATGCATTATACCATTGTGTAAGTATGGCAAAGCAAAGCCAAACGTGTGCATTGAAAGAGCGCGTTGGTGGTTAGCAAGCAAGCAAGCAATGGTGTGTCACAATCAATCGGTGACGCAGATCTGTGGCAATGGGGCCATTTGAACAGCGCGTGATGTCGGCCCATGCAATAGCCTCTAGAATCCCCAATGGGCCCCCGTGAAAGTGACCCCTCCGAAGTGGGAGTGCTGGTCTTGGGGATAGGGTGGAGTTCGAAGGTGGTGAGAATCCTGTGTCGTCGTGGTGCGGGGAAGGAGCAACGAGAGCGCACCGTTCGTAAAAGGCGTGCGCTCCGCTACGTACCCGCCTGCTCCTCCTCCTCCTGATCCTCCTTCTGCTCCTCCGTGGGACTTTCGCGCGCTTGAGTGGGGATGTCTTGAGGCCCCGCTGGACCGTGCTGGAGTCCGTGTGGGGCTCTCTTCTGGTGCCGAGTTAGTTGTGAGGGTCTCTCTGACGGCCTTCTTGGGGATTGCGAAGGTCATCCCAAGCTCTCTGGGACTATCGTGGGGCTGTCTTGGCGCAATTTGGGAATCGTTCTGAGCAAACGGCTCCATTGCGCCCATCTCGGAATCTCGGTCGCCTCCCCTTTGAGAACACACGCATACATGCATGCCATTCATAGTTGTTCAAGCAACTATCGAGGCGTCCTTGGGCGCGCCATAGCTCACCCGAAACGCTCCTGGAAATGTGGTCAGCCCGTACAGTCGGGCTGCTGAATTTAGGAATGCTAGACAAGAAGCGAAGCCCCTCTTTGGTACCAGAAGAGCGTGAATGCACAAAACGGGCTAGAGGAACAACCACGGGATGACCTGAGGATTGGCGAGCCCACTCTGCACCCAAAGCGGTCCTCATTTCGGCATCTTAGCTGCAATTCAGAAGCGTCACGAATACGGACATTCCCATGTGGCGGCTTGAACCCGATAAATGTTGTCATCTCTTGGAAGTCGACGTTTGCTTCCGCCGGCTTCCGCTAGCCTTCCACCGACCTTCCGCTGGCGGAGCCGCCGCCGTTTTGCTTCCGCCGCCTTCCGCCGACCTTCCGCCGCGCAAGAGATGGTGCCTCCTTCCATCCTCTGAGGCGAGGCCCTGTTCGGAACGCCCCACGTGACTCTCAAACCTCTGGCAGCTCGACCAGACGCGCGCCAGATGCATCGCACCACTGCCGCTGTATGGGGGGGGTGCCGTTTTGTGGTCCAAAGCAGCACGAACCCGCACGAACCCGCGGCCAGAGCAGAGGGTCGTGAGCTGCAGGCTGGCGGCGCGCAGAGGGGGCTATGGGGGAGGGGGGGAGGCTTCTTGGAAGGAGGCCGCTGATTAGAAGGCGCCTGCCCTACATCCAGGTCAGCACCTTGTAAGAACCAACCTCCTTCTGAGAAGCCCCCCCCCTCCCCCATACCCCCCCCCTGCGCGTGGCCGGGAAGTGGTCGGCGACGCGAAAACATCGAGTTGTCGGAGGTCTGAGTTGAGCCAATAGCAGAACTTCGGGATGCGCTATGGACCATATGGAAGACCTCCAGAACTCCTGTCGGCTGGCTTCGAACCGAAGCAAGGCTTCAGGGCGAGCGCCCATCAATCCCAATGGAACCTTCGAGCTAGGCATCGGGCCACGTGGGGGCGCGAAATATATGTACCACTCCCGCTGGGATCACTGACAGGAGAAAAACAGGATGCAAGCAGAACGTCGTTTGTGTTTAAACCGTCGTTTTCGTTTAAAACGGTGCAAAAAACGAAAACAGCAAAATCCTCAAATCCTCAAAACGGCGTTGAAACAAAACGTCGTGCTTGGGCGTTTTAAAACAAAACGTTTCGTCAAAACGAAAACGGTGTGACAAATTTGAAAAACAACGTTCTGCTCGCATCCTGGAGAAAAATGCTGTCGTGGCGACGCGGGGGCGTGCATGTCTCCACTGCGCCAGGGGACAGGCATGCCCCGCACAAGGGGAAAATGCTGCCGTGGCGACGAAGGGGCGTGTATGTCTCCGCTGCGAGAAGGGACGCGCATGCTCCGCCCACGGATTGTCCGCCCCCCCTCTCGCACAAAGCACCTGGCTGGGCAGTGGGAGGGAGGTGAAAGCCGCCTGGTGCGAGGCCAGAAGGGTTATACATGATCGCGGGCTTTGGGCCCACGGGCCCCCCCCCAGATGGGATGGGTCCCAGGGTCCTCGGGCCCCCCCCCCAGATGGGATGGGGGGGCGGAGCAGGAGGAGGAGGGGGAGGCGGAGGAGGAGGAGGAGGAGGAGGACGACGACGACGGCGACGACGACGACGACAACGGCGACGACGACGACGACGACGGCGACGACGACGACGACGCGACGACGACGGCGACGACAACGACGACGGCGACGACGACGACGACGACGGACGACGGACGACGGTGGACGACGATGACGGACGACGACGACGACGACGACGATGACGACGACGACGACGAGAACGCCGACGACGACGACGACGACAACGACGACGTCGACGGCACCGGCGGCGGCGGCGGCGACGTCGAGCACCGGAGCTTTCCGAAAGCACGTCAGCATGACGCCACAATCACAGCCACACGCACACCCACACCACACCCACAGGGGGGGAGGGGGGGAGGACATTGGGTCACCCCACACCACACCCACAGCAACACACCACACCCACACCACATCCACAGGGGGAGGGGGGGGGGACCATCGCGCAGGGGGGGGGCGGGGGCCCGATGGCATCAGCATGGGGGGGGGGTGAGCAAAACCCTCGACCCTACATCTCCACCGCTCCAGGGACAGATGTCCCAGGGCCCCGGGGGGGGACAATGGATCGTTAAGGTGGGGATTGGATCGGTAAGGTGTGGTGTGGCTGTGATTGTGGCGTCATGCTGACGTGCTTTCGGAAAGCTCCGGTGCTCGACGTCGTCGCCGGTGCCGTCGACGTCGTCGTCGTCGTCGTCGTCGTCGTCGTCGTCGTCGTCGTCCGTCGTCGTCCGTCGTCGTACTCCCTCTCGTGACGGCTCTGGAGCTCTGGCCGCCCCGGGGCCGTCGTCCCCCTCAGTGTGACGACGGAGGCGGCGGCGAGCACGAGGATTACGAAGACGACGACTGCTCCTCCTCCTCCTCCTCCTCCTCCTCCTCCTCCTCCTCCTCCTCCTCCGACTGCAACGACGCCGACTCCGACGGCGACGAGGCTGCGCGAGGGCGCCGCTGTGCCGGTCCAGGCTGGGGCCGCGTCGGGCAAGATGCTTCGCCCTCCGGTGTCTTGCGGCGGGGTGCGCGGCTGTCTTGTGCGCTGTCTCAAGGTTGTCCTGTGGTTGCCCCATTGGGCTGTCCCGTTGGTGATCCTGTGGGCTGGCCCGAGGGTTGTACCGTGGAATTTGTCCTGCGATTGTCTCGTGGGTTGTACCGCGGGATGTCCCTCGGGATGTCCCTTGGCTGCCCCGTGGTAGTCCCACGGGAAAATTTAATAAAACACTTTGGTTTGCCCTGCGGGCTGTTCAGTGACTTGTCTCGCGGAAATCCTGTGGTCCTCCCGCGGGTCGTCCCGTGAATTGAGCCCGTGCTTTTCCCGTGGTTGTTCCGCGGGGCGTCTCGTTGGTTGTCCCGTGGCTGTCCCGTGGCTGCATTGGCGACGAATCGCGCAAATTTGGTATCGATCCGCGGAGCCGTCCTCGTTGCAGTGCCGCGGCCTCCGAGGATCTTCCTCCGGCTTCCGCCAAGGTAAGGCTGCGAGACCCTGGGAAGTCCCATTTACCACGAACTGGACGTCAACATTGGCGCAGGACGGGCCGATGAACCGGGGTCTTTACTTTGGATTTTGACTGTACGATCCCGTCGATGCTTCGAAGGTAATGCCCTTCCTGAGACGTCAAAAATCAACTGGAGCGAGACAGACAACTCTGCACACGAGCCACGTCAGCACATCGAAATACGCGTCTGGCGCGGGCGGGGGCAACCTAGCACTGGGCAACGGGTGTCCTTCACATCCTCCTCCTTGACGTCCTCAGCGGGGGGAGCTCAAGCCGAGTGAGGGGCAAAAAAGTTGGGGCCCTCTGCAGTGGGGCGCGTGGCTAAGACGCGGACTGTAGCCAGAATGTGGTCTTTGTCGTGCTGCGGCACGCGAGGCAGGGATGGCGATGACTGATCTGTGTGTCCCGTCTGCCAATGTGCCTCTGTGTGTCCTTGCGCTTGTGTATCTATATGGTTACCCCTCTGTCGGATCTTGTCTGCCGATCTGCCTATCAGCCTCTGCCTCTGGATGCATGTGCCCATCGTGCGAGCAATCACCTCTGAAAAAATGATGCCCGCACGTTCCCGTATGTTTGGCACTGGCGCATGTCAGCGCGTGTCCCTGTAAATGTGCAACAATTTCGAAACACTTCAAATTCGGCTTATCGCCACGTGTTTCTAACGCGCTCTCTCTCTCTCTCTCTGTCTGTCTCTCTCCCTCCGTGTGCTTATTTCTCACTCTCTGTCTCTACATCATTCGAATATATGTACACGTGTGTGTTAGCCACCATGGACAACAAACTGTCCGTTTCTAGCATTATATGATGTGC